GACCCCTGCTTGCCTCCTGGACTTTGCTTTTGGTTATTTCTTTATTTGTTATTTATTAATAAAGGTGTTTTTGCATCTAGCTCTGTCTCTGTCTGGTTCCTGGTCCCTAACAGCAGGACAGGACTGTACATGAACTGGTATAACAAGACAAAATTAAAACAAGACAATAGATATAAGGCAAAACAAGAGGAGAAATAACTAAGTACTATATATGTAATAAACATTGGAGATTTAGACATACATAAATCGCCAAGATGTATACAGCCCACCACTACGCCAAAGTACTCCAGTTACAGTGGGTCCTAACTGCATAGATATGCATGACTAAAAGTACAACAATAAAACACACACAGTACTTACCTGCAAAGAAAGGGGCAGAGGAATAAGACCACTGCTAGCAGGAAACAGTCTGAAAAAAAAGGACAAATGGTAAAGGAACAGGTGTGGCAACAAAAAACAAACATTTTAAGGAATCCAGGAGACTGGGAATTCCAGGAACGGAATAAAGGAATGAGCCCAGAAAACCCAGCATAAAGAAAACTAGACATAGAGTAGAGAACCAGAATTGTAAAAAGAGTACTGGATATAAGAAGCCAAGGCCAGAAATGATCCGCAGACAGGAACAGGATGTTACAGTCAAATCCTGATGTTATCGCCTCGATATGAAGTGTAGTTTGAAAGTAGTGTTTGGATGTTCAGATACACAGGGCTTTTACCAAGGGAGGGTGATGGCCCTATCCAACCAAGGGTCACAGATTTTTTGGAAACAGTTGGGGGTGTCATGAACTTATGCTGTTAACTTATCCATAGCTATGCTTTCTAGTACTTTCCTGTAGAATAGTGAATGGGAAGAAATTATGGTGTTGGACCAGATCTCCGCTATATCTCTGCGAGTTGCTAGAGAGTCCTGTGCTGCTAGTTTTCATTTCCAGTAAAAGATTCAATGGGTTTAGACAATCAAAGTGCACACGTGTCCATAGGGAATGGCCTATCTAGAACCCTAGTTAATAATGTTGAGATGCTTTGCCATAGAGGGACAATTTCAGGACATGTCCACCATCAGTGGAGGAAGAAGCCTATTTCCATGCAGAGTTTCCAGCATAGCATGTTCGGTTTGTGTTGCATAGAGGCTAGTCGTTGTGGGGTAATCTACCACTAAAAGAGCATTTTGTAAGCTTGCTCTTGGTGGGTGCCACATATAAGAAAAGTTTATTTTAATTCTAAGGCGTTGGTCCTTTGGTTATTCTTTAGCCATGGTGGGTAGTGACAACTATCAAAGAATATATACTTGTTCACATCCACTATTTAAAAAATGTGCTTGTCTGTAATCTCTCTTCTATTAAATATATACTTAAATCCAAAAAATTAACCATATGGTCGATGTAAGGAGTGGATAATTTGATCCCCCACTTGTTATTATTCAAAAAAGTAAAAAAGCTTCTAAATCTTCTTCCAAAAAAGTCATCAATGTAATGGCTATAGGTAACCAGGTTTTTTCCTTAGCCATGTTGGCCTAAATTAAAAGAGATTTCCAAATATGCCATGAATAAGTTGGCATAGCTGGTCACAAGCCTACTGCCCATAGTCATCCTGAGGGTTTGGAGAAAAAACTTAAATCAAACCAAAAATGATAATTATTACTAAAATAAGGGAAATGCCTTCTAAAATAAATTCCACCTGGCATTGTTGGAGTTCCGATTTATTTAAAGAGAATGCAGCTGCTTCCAGTCCCTCGACATCACTAGTAATTAGGATGCCCCCAGGGCCGGACTGGCCCACCGAGATACCGGGAAATTTCCCGGTGGGCCGCGGCACCTGGGGCTGGGCTGACAGCCCTAATCATTGGGCTGACAGCTCCTGTGGCCATGTGTGAGTTGTGCGGCCGCACAGAGCCCCATGGGAGAAGGGGGAGACAAGCGGCCGGCACAGCTCACACATGGCCGGCCGGGATCATAAAAAAATAAATAAAATTGTGTCTGCCTGTGTGTGACTGTCTGTGTGTGTGACTGTCTGCCTGTGTGTGTGTGGCTGTCTACCTGTGTGTGTGGCTGTCTGCCTGTGTGTGTGTGACTGTCTGCCTGTGTGTGTGTGACTGTCTGCCTGTGTGTGTGTGGCTGTCTGCCTGTCTCTGTATGTGTGGATGTTTGCCTCGGTGTCAGTGACTGTCTGCTTCTATGTGTGCGCGCACCTGCTAGTGAGAGAGCCTCTTTGTGTGTGTGCCTGCTAGTGAGTTTGTGTGTGTGTCTGCCTGCTAGTGAGTGAGCTTGTATGTGTGTCAGTGAGCTTGTCTGTAGGGATCATATGTGTGTGTGTGTGTGTGTTAGTGAGCTCTTGTCTGTAAGGAGCATGGGTGTGATCGTGAGCTTGTCTGTAGTGAGCGTGTGTGTCAGTGAGCTTGTCTGTAGTGAGCGTGTATGTCAGTGAGCTTGTCTGTAGTGAGCATGTGTGTGTCAGTAAGCTTGTCTGTAGTGAATCTGTGTGTCAATAGGCTTGTCTGTAGGGAGAGTGTGTGCGCATCAGTGAGCTTGTCTGTAGTGAGCGTGTGTGTGTGACAGTGAGCTTGTCTGTAGTAAGCTTGTGTGTGTATCAGAGTTTGTCTGTACTAAATTTGTGTGTGCCAGTAACCTTGTCTGTGTGTGTCATTGAGATTGTCTGTCAATGAGCCTATTTGTGTGCATCAGTAAGATTGTCTGTGTCTGTGTGTGAGTATGCTTTACTGTATAATTTAATTACCCTAAAATAACTAATATTTTTAATTAGAAGAAGAAAGGTATAATATATATATAGGTATATATATATATATATATACACACACACATATACTATTGCATCACCAGGGCTCCAGTATCCAGGCAAGTGAAATAGTTGGCTGCACTCTCAGATTTCCTTAAAACGTAAATTTTATTGAAATATTTAAAGGACCACTCTAGGCACCCAGACCACTTCAGCCTAATGAAGTGGTCTGGGTGCCAGGTCCAGCTAGGCTTAACCCATTGTTTTATAAATATAGCAGTTTCAGAGAAACTGCTATGTTTATGAATGGGTTAAGCCTTCCTCCAATTCCTCTAGCGGCTGTCTCATTGACAGCCGCTAGAGGCGCTTGCGTGATTCTCACTGTGAAAATCACAGTGAGAGCACGCAAGCGTCCATAGGAAAGCATTGATAATGCTTTCCTATGTGACCGGCTGAATGTGCGCGCAGCTCTTGCCGCGCGTGCGCATTCAGCCGCATGGGAGGAGAAGAGGAGGATCGAAGGAGGAGAGCTCCCCGCCCAGCGCTGGAAAAAGGTACGTTTTTACCCCTTTCCCCCTTCCAGAGCCGGACGGGAGGGGGACCCTGAGGGTGGGGGCACCCTCAGGGCACTATAGTGCCAGGAAAACGAGTGTTTTCCTGGCACTATAGTGGTCCTTTAAGAGAAGATCAATGTTTCAGTGCCTCTTGTGGACTTTCGTCATGATGCTGATGCAAGTCCACAAGAGGGACTGAAACGTTGATCTTCTCTTAAATATTTCAATAAAAGTTACATTTAAAGGAAATCCGAGAGTGCAGCCAACTTTTTCAATTGCCTCTATATATTTATAACACCCTACATAGCACAATGACTTATGGGGCTGGCATAGATTTTTTTCCAGGGCTGCTTTGTATCCCCAGTCCAGCCCTGGATGCCCCCCCACCCCCCCATCCACTCCACTTTGTGTAATGTTTGTTAAATATAAGCTGTGTCCCTTAAACATGGGGGGGGGGGTAATTAAAAGGCTGTAAAAAGGAATCAATGTATTGAGCTGTTATAAACCCTATACCAGAAATAATGGGTCTTCCATGGGAGTTAATGTGGTCATTAGGCAACTTAGGTAGAAAGAAAATAAATGGGTTCTGGTGTATGGCACAATAAGATATTCATCTTTATTTTAAATTTGTAAATTCTTTCCTTTTGCTAAATATTCTAAAAATATTTTTTTCATATCTGATGTAGAATTACTACTTGTGTATGTACTTTTATGGTTAAGTTGTCTGCAGGCCTCTTTTTTATAATGCTCTTCATCTAAAATCACTGTCCTTATATATTTTTTTTAATTCTTCTATCAACATTAATTCCTCTTTTTTAAGTTATACCTTTGGTTTTTGATTCTTTTAATTGCATTCACCTCTTTCATTACTGGTTCCTTAAGGTCACTTATGCCTCGTTTCCACTGAGCGGATCAGTTAGGGTCGGTTCAGTACGGTACGCTATTTTGAGTGTTTCCATTATGAAAGTGGCCCATACAACCGAACCAAACCGCACCATTCATGGTCCCCCTTCAGATGTAGGGCCATAGGAAATGGTACGGTACGGTTAGGGCGGAGCTACTGGCGTCACACGATACATTCTACTGATTGGCGGACAGAAAAACGTTAATGTTCATGTCAAAGGCAAGCGCGAAACAAACACCACGTCGCCGTTTAGTCCAGATAATAGGATACCTGCAAACAACAAACAACAGCAAGGTCTGGTCTGCTCAGGAACTATCCACTTTCCTAACTATAATTGGCAATAGCGTTATTCAGACTGAGCTTGATGGATCAGTGAGAAATGAAAAGGTGTATAAAGATATTTCTCAGCGGATGGCAGCCGAGGGATTTGAACGGACGTTGGGTCAGTGTAGGGCAAAGCTTAAAAAGTTGAAAGGCCAATATAAAAAAATTAAGGATGCCAACAGCCGTAGTGGAAACAGTTGAAGTACTTGGAAGTGGTACAACGCCATGGATGCCATTTACGGTCATAGGCCGGCAAACCAAGGCAGGGAGGGAGGTCTGGACTCTGCATCTGCACTTCTCGAATCCATGATAGAACCCGTTGGTAAGTTTTTTTTCCTACTTTGCATTGGCTTTCGCTCTGCTAACCATTTATAAATTCACTGCACAAAACCATTAACTATTTGCACAAAAAAAAAAAAAAACATTTTATTTGTACAGTGGACTGAACTATTGACCTGTGCATTTTCAGATACAGTTGATGGACTCTCCAATGATACCTCAATCTTTTCTTATGTTTCTGACAATGGTCCATCAGCGTCATTCAGCAGCACCAGTACGATGACGTCAACACCGACCCAACCACAGACCTAACCACAGAGTATGCCCAATGCACCCTGGCACACTGGTAAGACATGATGTTCAGAGTGAAAGTTGTAATTGTGCATTTTCCTAACTTTTAATTCACAGCAAACTGTGAACTCACTCAAAATGCTTCTATGTAGTTTGTTTGCATAATTAAATCCATAATCATAATTGTACATTGTCTGGATATACTGCTATTTAAATTTCATTATGTTTTGAGCTTATCTTAAGTATATTGTGTTTATTGAGTTTATTTTAATTTGTGCTTATACTGTTCTTATGTGTTACATCTTTTCTTTATTTACATTATGTTAGATAATATATATATATCCACCTGTTTTTTGTACCAATTGCTAAAAAAAAACACTATTCTGTGGCCCATACAAACCGTCCAGGTGATAGGAGACGGTTTCAGCTGGATTTGCGCACAGTCATGGAGGATATGCGGGCAGCAGAGGAAAGGCAGCAGGAAAGGATGGAGAAGCTTTCTGAGCGGCGGTTTCAGGCACTGCGTCAGGATGCCCAGGAAGCGAGGCGCCAGGAGGCAGAAATCGCCCGGCAGCAAATGGAGCAGTTGGTTACCTTCAACCAGGCCTTCCTTGGTGTCCTTGGGCAGCTTGTTCAAGTGCTGGGAGGCAATCGTGATCCCTGGTCACTGCCCAGGCATTAGTGCCTTTCAGCCAGCACAGGACCTGAACACTTTTTTATTTTTATTTTTTGGTAAAAATATTTATTTTAGTTTTTTTTTAAAGTTTTTTTGTAAATATATTTTTTTACTCTGTACTTGTAAGTATATTTTGAAAGATCACTTTTTTTGTTGAATAAAAAACAGGAGAGACTTTGCGTGTGTCTGATTAAATGTAAAACTTTATTAAAACTTTAATAAAACGTTAATAAAATCAGGGTAAGAAATTAAATGTTGAAGTGCCGCATCAGAGCCTGATGTATTTCATTGCACTCTTCTTCGCTATCCTGTGTAATTACCTGTCCTGGCTCTTCTGCAGACGTATTCCAATCCTGGTGGAAGTCTTCTCCATGTCTTTCACAAAGATTGTGAAGAGCACAGCAAGTAAGCACCATGGATTTGACAAGTGCAATGTCACTGTCATTCCTCTTCATAAGACAACGCCACCTACCCTTAAGTCTTCCAAATGCATTTTCAACTACGACCCGTGCCCTGGATGTTTTCTTGTTGTAGGTTTGTTGTTCTGGTGTCAGGCGGCCATTGTCAGGAAATGGTTTCAGAAGCCAATTTTGTAAAGGGTAGGCAGAGTCCCCGAGCACATAATAGCCAACATTCACCCCCCCCCCCCAATGTTCTTAGTGCAAACAGGATACAGGCCTCCCTGGCCAACCCAATCCCAAAATGTGGACAGTCGTAGAACCCGAGCATCATGTACACTCACAGGCTTTCCTACATTCACACTCCAGAATAGTATTTTTCCATCCACTACTCCTTGGAGGATGATGGAATGCCAGCCTTTTCTGTTGAAGAAGTCAGTGTGGTATTCTTGTGGTGCTATTATTGGTATCTGTGACCCATCAATAGCACCAACACACCTGTTCGCAAAGTAGTCAGCCATGTTTTTAAGCTTTTGCCAGTCCGGAAAATGAATAATTTCAGGAGCTAGCAATGTGTATACAGCTTTACAGAAGTCCTGCACACACCGGCACACTGATGATTTACTAACACCAAAAAGATGACCTATACTTCTGTATTCACTGTTGGTAGCCAGCTTCCACAGTGCAATGGCAACTCTTTTCCTCACAGGCAAACAGGCTCTGAAGTTGGTGGTTTGCTTCTCCATCGCTGGACGTAGCTTTGCACAAAGGTATAAAAATGTTTCCTCCGACATTCTGAAATTGTGCACCAACTGTGTGTGTGAATCCAGGGACGGTCACATCCCACTACTCATTGGCACGGCGGAGAGCCCAAATGACTGGTCGTCGGCGCTGCTTTGACAAAAGGAGAAGCATCTAAAAAAAAAAAAAAGACAGATGTTACCATATCACTAATAATACAACATAAAATACTTTACACAGACAGATAGCATCATGTATAAAAGCGAGCAACATAAATAACATAAGGAGTATTTATGTATAAGGTGTAATTCTTGAATTTTACATATGTGTGATTTTTTACATATTCTGTATTATTTTTATTTTTTAATACGTGTAGAACTACATGACAAATGGCATAAAGTTGCTTACCCTATAGCGCTGCCGTCTTTGTCTTTGCCGCACAAAGATGTACTTCTCCTCCCGGCTCAATACCCAAGCCATAAGTTTTCTTCTCTTTTCTGCTGTGTTTCTCTTCGCCAGCTCGCAACCTTCTCTCATAAAGTGCGGCATGTATTTTAATTTCAAAGAACCAAAAGCCAAATAGAGCAAAGACGAGCTGCTGGATGACCTCCATTATTGTTATTTGTAGCGTCACGTATGTTGTCGCACTAGTGTGACGCCACACTAGGCATTTGGCGTAAACCACGCAAGCCTCCAGGTGTTCCAACTTTCAGTGGAAACGCTCGCCTGAATAGGCCGGACCATTCAAAACCTTCCAAACTGTACCGTCCCGAACTGATCAGCTCAGTGGAAACGAGGCATTATTGAATTGGTTTTAAACATTTTTGGAAAATTTATTTATTTCATGAACAAGTGTCCGACATCCAGAGCAAAATGTATATTCCGAGAAAAATTATTCAGCGTATCAACCTTCCCCACCATGCACAAGTTTACTCTACACTATTCTCCTACCCCTGAAATGCTACTCACTACAACTCTCAAAATGCACATCTGGACCGCTCAAACACTGCCTGTGAATGATGGTAGTTTTAATACCAGAAGCTGTAATTCAAGACATTACTAATTCCAGATTACGTAATTTTCTAGGAATAATTCTATTTATTCCTTACTTTGTTTTAAAAGTCAAATTTCCACCTCCCTTCACTACTTCCCCCAAACCCTTTCAAAATTACAGAGTCATGTCCTAATAACTAAGCCCACATTTTCATTAGATCATACTAAGAGGGTTATTCCAGGAAAAAATTTGCTGGTTGGGAAAATGAGAGCTATACTTCTGACTATCATAAAAGACGATTGGGGCTTAATCACTAAACAGTAAATAGTCGAGAATGGACAGCTATGTTGCAACATGTAGTCCAACATATGTTGTGAGAATTTTCAAATTCAGCAAGTTTATCCTAACGTTGTCTTGTTTTATTCCTTTAATTAATGACTATATTTAATTTGTTGGTTTTCCCAAATGTACAGATTTATGGAACAAAATATATACCATGTGTGTTCTGCCCACAAAGCCCAATATGATTAATCTGCTGTTAGTTAACATACTTAATACACATTGAGTTTATTATTTCATAGTTGCCTATTGCATCTTTGACTAATCCCACAGTAGCTGGCACTGTTTTTCACCAGAGGAATTTTCTTGTCATACTTAATTAGGCTCAGTACTCACTACCTGCTTAATTAGGATCTTGGGTAGTGTGACGAGACCAATCTCGCCACATTGCATTGGAGAAGCCTGGTTGCTCGCCTGCTGCCTTTGGACTATGGCCCCCTTTTAAAAGACTTTATTTTTCCATGCAGAAAAGCCATATTCATGCTTTTCTGCCGGTTGTTCGGTAGTTTCAATCTACCGAACAACCGTACGAATGACTGGACTACCTGGGAGCTGGAGTGTGCCGGCAATTAACCTCCCTGAAGCTGCGGTTAACCGCAGCTTAATTGATGAACGCTGGGTGGCCGCCGTTCGTATCCCGAACACGAGGTCGCGGCCATTTTAAACCATACGAATGAACAGCGGTGTTCGCCTCTATTTTCATGGAACTAAAATCGGACACAGTTTTGCGCGAACACCGCTGAAGCCGCCGACCTCCCTTCTTGTTCGGTGAAAGCACACGAATGACCCGGTGTTCGGTATTTTTGTGTGAATGTCTTATACCCCAGATAGGAATCCCATGGAGCCCATTCGTATGAAACTGACTGTAAAGACTTTGGCTCCATGGCGATTGAACTGTATTCGTGTGGTCTGAGTGCCATTCACCTAATAATGTGCACTCAGACCTGAGCTATCTGGGGATATGTTACATGTCTGTGTTTTATGTAGTAAATGCTACTTTGTGCATTTTAAAGTATAATGCTGGTTTTGTGTTCCCACGTGTGTAATGGAGTTTTGCCTTTGACTTGGGAGATAATTGAGTTACTTCCCAATTATCTCCCAGGGCAGAGGGGAGGAAGCCATGATGCATTGTGGGAATATACTGTGACTGTGTGTCCTTTTTGTATACTTGTCTGTCCCTTGTCACAGTCTCCCATTTGGTCCCCTAGGGGAGTGTCCACTAGGTGGGAGACCTGCATAAAAGCTGGGCAGGTAGCCCTCATTAAACAGACCACTGCTTGACTCTCAACACGGAGCCTTGTCTCGTTCTTGGGGGGATTCACTGTATGCTGTTAGAGACTGATTGCCAGGAGTGTAAGCTGTTCGTCTGCTTTTCCTGTTCGTCTGCTAGCAGCTATTTGGGAGGTTCCAGTTCGGGAGTTGGAGTGCTATTTTGTATCCAGTTCGTGAGTTTTGGTGTCCTGCAGTAGCTGTGCCTGGATCTCTGGAAAGGGGGCCGATCGCCTAAACGGTTTTTACCCCTTGTGTGCAAAACGGTCCGTTACAATTGGTGGCAAGCGGCGGGATCGTTCCCACGGACTACAGGACAGCTACAGGAGACACCATTTCTTTGGATTTACAATTTGAGGGCAACGCATGTCTGAGTACAGCGACCCTGACAGCACCAGGATGGAACCAGCAGTGGCGTACAGATACTCTATAAGAGAGTATGACCGTATGATGTGGTTGCGGCTGAACTTTTTTGGACCCAATCCAGCTGAGAAACACGTGCAGTCCATGAGGAACCTAGTGTTCATGAATCTGCAACACCGGGCAGAAAGAGAAGGTCAGCTGGCACGTTGGGAAGAACTCCAGCGACAGGTACTGCAGGGAATTGGGAGCCCAGTCTCCATTCCCCAGCGGCAGAGTGTATTGCAGGGAATTGGGAGCCCTAGCTCCATTCCCCAGCGGGAGATATTGCAGGGAATTGGGAGCCCAGTCTCCATTCCCCAGCGGCAGAGTGAATTGCAGGGAATTGGGAGCCCGAGCTCCATTCCCCAGCGGGAGATATTGCAGGGAATTGGGAGCCTGAGCTCCATTCCCCAGCGGCAGGTTGAGTTACAGGGGACAGAGATAGTTGCTCCTGTCCCCCAGCAGCAGAATGAATTGCAGGGAATTGGGAGCCCGAGCTCCATTCCCCAGCGGGAGAAATTGCAGGGAATTGGGAGCCCGAGCTCCATTCCCCAGTGGGAGATATTGCAGGGAATTGGGAGCC